TATATGGAGAATAAGGTTGTTATCTTGTATCTACACGGAAGCTGGTTTTAAAGATAGTGAGACAGCTTTTGTCTTCCAATACTAGTCACTTCACCTGGAACCCATCAGTGTGTTTGCACGGCACTATTATGTAGGTATAAATCATCTACGTGGATATGCTAACTGAAGCAATAAGCACCTCAATGGGATATTAAACCTGAACAACTGCAGCAGCATGATTTATGCTGCTGCAACTTGCGATTGTAAGGTAATGTACTTACATTATTAATGTTTGAGCATGTTATTATCGTTATTGTTGTTATTACTAAAGGCGTGGCTGGAAAGAACTCCAGGACTTGATGCTGAAGGATTTGATTTCTGGGGACAATTTGAAGTGAATGTTTTAAAAGGTCTAGAAGAGGAATTTACCTTGTTGCAGGTATGGAGTATACTCTTGATCTAGCTGTAAGCAAAGGCAGCGGGCAAATTGACATCCTGACATAATTTTGACTTTATGCTCATTTGCTTCACTTAATCAGCAAGAAGTGAAAAAAGCGCATTTTTTTTTTTTCCCCAGGAAATCTGAATAAGTTTGTAATTTGACATCTAAGACAGTTTAAAGTATGTGATACATGTATGATTTTGATTGCAAAAGGAAAAGGATAGTATCAACAGAAGGACTGAAATTGATTTTACTGAAACTACAACTTCGCCTTTAGTTAGCACTTGCATCTACAGTTGAGGGTAAACATGAAGTTTGAGGCCCTGAATTGTGAGTATGGAGTGTCACTATAAACACCCCATTTCTGTTTAACAGTATGTGGCAATTTGTTGCTATGTGATTGTTCGAATTACACTAGCAAATTAGCAAAAGAAAATCCCCAAAATACTGTAAGACCTGTAGTTTTAAGTAGATTTTTAATGGTAAAAAAAAAAGGCATAACATAAGAATTAGTCAATTTTCTATGAATTTCTGTTATCTAAACCTTTTTATTTACAATTTTCTTACTCATAGCTGTTCAAGGTTGTCTTCTTTTTGCCTTGAAGATTAAGTGTTTTTAAGGCCTCTAGACCCAAATAAAAGTGATAAGCTGCCAGTTTGTTTGAACATTCATTAATGTGAATTGTGCTGATGGATATTTAATAGTACTTTTGTCGTAATTGTGTATCTTAAAGGACAGTGACTCAGCAATTCATCTATCTTGTTTGAAAATACAGCTCTTACTTTTTTTATATGAACTTAGGGTATTTATGATGAAAATAGCGGTTACATTATGGGTTATTCAAGTGCTTAATTTTCCCTATTGAATTCTAAAATCAGTTTTTGTTTTAAATATCAAAGGCCAAACCAGAATCAGAAGAAAAAGATGATGAATTATCTGAATTCCAAAAACAGAAAGATGTATTACTTTCATTATTTGATGAAAAACGCCACGAACACCTGCTTAGTAAAGGTAGATTTCATTAATGTGCACTTTCAGGTTTTTTATACATGATCTATATAAACACGTAACAGCATTAAATTTGCAGGAGAATCAGTAACATACTAAGGATGCTCGTATTTTGCAGGAGAAAGACGACTGTCTTATAAAGCACTGAAGGGTGCCCTAATGATCTACTTCTACAGGTAAAGGTAGAAGGTGTATCGTTAATACTTACTGGCAGGAGGGAAAGTGAAGGTTAAGGAGAGCAGCACAGATTTATTTAGGTTGCAAAAGGCCTTGGAAAGTACGCTTATACAACCCTCCACAAAACCCAGCTTGAAGGTCAGGTTGGCCTGCTAAGGGCTGAGTCCAGTTGAGTTTTGAGTATCTATTCAAGGATGTAGATTGGCCTCTTTGGGCATCTGGTTCGTGTCTGTCCAGCTGCTGCTCCTCAGAGTGTAACAGGCAAATGCCTTGTTCAGACCATTCTACAAATTGTCCTAAGAAGAGTTATTTTCCAAGTATGGGGGAAAATGCAGATTCAGGCTTCTATGGCAGAAGCCCTTCTTAGAGCATCTAGTGACATTTCCATACCAATTTCGGAAAAAGATATATGTTATGTCATTATTGTACACTGGTGAAGTGCTACTTTGAAAAATACAGCATATCGTAAGAGGTCCCACTGTCTTCTCTTTCATTTTCCAAGGGAGGAGCCTCGTTTTCAAGTTCCCTTTCAGCTTCTTACTTCCCTTATGGATATCGATGTGCTCATGACCAAATGGAGATGTAAGTTCCACTGTCTGACTGTGACGCTCCTTCTTTTAGATGAAAGTAAACTGCCCTGTTTTACCCTCTTTTAGACAGGTTATGCCCAGAGTTTTAGAACCGAACTGAGTTCATCCTTTAGGAATGACTAGGTTTTTTTATACTTCATCCAAGAGGAAAGATGAACAGCTTCTTCTGTGATCATTAGATACATAGGTACAGCTGTCACTTCTATGACATGCTATAAGTGAACAATTCTATTTAAATGGCAGGTATATGTTTTGTGATGTCTCCCAAAATGTGACCATGTCATTTCATAATAGAATCATAGAATGGTTTGGGTTGGAAGAGATGTTAAAGGTCATCTAGTTCCAATCTCCCTACCATGACTGGGGATACCTTTCACTAGACCAGGTTGCCCAAAGCCCTATCCAAACTCACAAAGACCTCATATGCAAACCTTTTTTCTGCTCCTTCTCTATCTAGACACCCAGAAATGAATTAATTCTGTATTAACAGAGCACAATAATGTAAAAGAATTAGTGTATTCTTTCTATATTAACAATAATTTTATATTAGCTGACTGAAGAGTGGCGGAATTAACTCCTACATTGCTGAATACCTAGTAGTGTTATATCAATGTAAAGATCTCTGTAGAATCTTTACTATTTCAGTGATGCACCTTGAGGTGACCCTTTGTTTTATCTTAACAGTGAACATACAGCCTGATTTTCTTTTATGTTACTTAGATAACCATGTCTGCATGGTTCACAGAATGATTGGCAGCAAGGCTGGCACCGGTGGCTCATCAGGCTACCAGTATTTGCGCTCAACAGTGAGGTAAGAATAACGTGATTCCCCCACCACCTGCAAAAATGCAGTTCGGACGTACTCTAATGCCAGGAGATAGATTTCAGATAGCTCACTAGAGGATGGAGAGCTATTGTTTTTCGTTTGGGACTCTAGCATTTCCTCCTGGTGGTTGTAACGTTGTTTTTCAGGTTGACATATACAAATTTCAAGAGTTTTGGGGCAAAAAGTACTCCTTTTTTGCACATGCAAAGTGCTATGTATAATTCTCAGTCAAGGGATCTAGGCATTACTGGAACAGTAGCAATAATTAACCCTGCATTTTTCAGTTTGTGTGCAACTATTGATGCATAACTTCCTTTCTTAGCATGACCTCTAATTGTACAACATAAGGTACTTTAATTTAGGATTGAATATATTCTGAAAGCTGATAATAATTAACACTCCCAAGCTGTGCAGGCAACAATCAGAAGTATGACTCCTTTTGCTGAAACAGAAAAGGAACTTAGAAGGGTTGTTAGGGGCCTGAGCACAGAACTCGCTGAATGGGTTGACTTTTTTTACACAAATTAGAGGATTCAGCTAATTAGACCATTCAGTCCTTTTAGCTGCAACTATGTCCTGATAGTCCTGAACAGCATTATGTCAAAAAAGCACAAACATCTTTAGAACATCTTCTAAGAGCACCTTCTTTGAGGTTTCATTTCAAAGAGAAACCGTTTGTAGCTGGTGACTGCTATGTCTGTCTGTGGGCAACAGTTCCCATCACAACCATTGTAACAGAGGGTGGAATGGAAATCAGATGGTTACATTGAAGATTATAGGTTCGCTGTCTTTTTCAGCAAGCTTTCTCACTCTTACTTGCTTTCAGGTTAACCTTCTTCCTAGGTATATTCTACTTTGTATTTACTATGAGAGTGGAGGTCTGGAGATTATAGCCTACACACTGCATTTTTAGGAGAAGAATGTGACTAATGCAACCATGTTTCCTTTTAAAGTCTGATCTGATATGCTTTATAAGCAGTTAGGATTGTATTTCTACTCTGGAATACTGAAGAGGAAGAGGAGTGCAGAAATCTCATTAAATAATAGAGATGGAATGATTCCTGACAATTTTGATATTAATGACCTTCCTGGCCAATACCACAGCATTAATTGTTCCGATTATCTTTTTCAGTGACAGATACAAGGTGTTTGTGGATTTATTCAATCTTTCAACATTTCTAGTGCCAAGACACTGGATACCAAAGATGAACCCAAGCATTCATAAATTCCTTTATACTGCAGAATACTGCGACAGCTCCTATTTTAGCAGTGATGACTCTGACTAGCCTGCCTCTTCAGACTGGTTGCTGTAAAGAACTACAGGACCTTCACCTCCAGTGGTGCTGTCCCTCAAATGTAACAGCTACTCTCCTAGAATGTGAGAGTGTAAATATGTATTTATGTATGACAGCTATGTGAATAGTATGATTGGCTTGTGGAAGAATCTTAATTTTTGTACAGAAAATAACCCATATTGAGTTAAGCTATATTAAGACAAAAATAATACCCCAATTCAACTCAACGACCAACTTACTTCTTCATTGGCTTCTTAAAACCTGTAGCTGGATGTTTTTAAAACCTACAGCAAATTATACAGAATTACTATGATCATGTCTTATTTGTACATATTTTTGTATTTGTTTGCCTAATGGCTGTTATTAATTTACTTCTAATAAATTAATGATTAGTCTTATCACCTTCAGAAAAGTATTAGTTTCTGAGCTCTTGTGGAATTTCAAAAGGAATTTTGTGCTAAGAGTTTCAAAAGCTAGATTTAAGAAAAGAATTCCCAAATCCATAGAAACCCAAGCGTCTTAAAGTTTTACATCATGTTCCTACCTGTTACAAGTGAATGTAGAAACACTGTTAAGAGTAGCAGATACACTTACTTTGCATTTCAAATAAAGCGGTATTAAAGCTCACCTTCTGTTAATGCTTCTTCTAAAGCAAGAGTAAAGTTCATAAAACAGTACAATAGCCATTTAAAGTGGGTTTTATTCAAATATCACTGAAGTAAGGATAAAAGTGATACATAATAAAATCAAGGCAAATTGGCAACAGAATATTGATAAAGCTGTGCAGTCTTCATGTTGGATGGAGGCTTCTCTTCTTAATCACTTTCCTTGGAAATACACATACACTTTAGCCTAACTTCTGCTGAGTTGCTCTGTGCCTTAGGTACTTACACACTTCACAAACACTAGTGGAATAGTCTGTGTCTGATACTACTATAACAGCATTACTCTTATCAATGCCAGCTGGGAACTTTGGCTACTGTTTCCCAGTTATGGAAGTAAGTGTACTATTTGTTGTTTGTAAACTGTTAAAATATTAACACTTAAGAAGTAGATGAGTAAAATGGCAATACTTACAATAGAAAATGATGAATGCTCATTGTGTTTGTCATAAGATTATAAATACACTGATCTAGTAACATGGTACAGTAATTGAATGCAAAAACTACAGAATTGCTTCAGCATTTTTCAGAGTGGTGCTTCATAAAATATACAGATTCCAGATGAAAGTCTCAGAGCATTTTAGAGTTACATGTTTGGTTGTGAAATCTAGTTATGACCAGCAAAGCTGGCATCCCTTTTCTGATTGCCAGCAATTCCCATCTATGAATTCAATTAATTAATGCAGGGAAATCTAAACCCCACTCTATTTGGAGTATCCTGTAATTACTGACTTTAGAAAGGTGTATTAACAAACCCCACCCTCAGAAATTTTTTTACAAGAAGCAAATTTTTTAATTTGTACTTTGCAGCTGGCTTCACTGTAACTCACGATGTAGAGAAGAAAAAAGGCATGAAACTGATACAGCTCTTGAAGCACAGAAAGGCTGATTTGCAAACACACACAACCTGCCAGGACATAGGATGTTAAACCACTAGAACTGCCTCTCTTTGTCTAAATATACTTACTTATTACTTTTCTATCCATCTAACAAATGAATGCAGAAGACTGATATTATAGGCACTTTCCAAAACGTATTCCCTGCTCTGAATAGCATTGAAGATTTACCCAATAAAGGTCTGAAGACTGATGATGAAGGACTACAGAACTTCAGAGACACTGGATATTCAGGCAACAAGGCTGAGTATCTGTTACCCTCCTGTATTCTTCCAACTTCACAGAAAGAGTAAGATTTCACAAAAAGGAGGAAGACAAAATATATGTGTCTGTCAGAGGTGCCCAAGTATCAAACAGAATATATTCTTGACTGACTTTCTTCCCTGCACAATAAAATCAGACCTGATCATGGTAGTTCTTATATTCTAAGCATTTCAATTATACCTTGTCATAAGGTATTTGATCCAAATTCCTCATCATTCATCATCACTTCTTTCCCTGTAAGATTTTTTTATGGAGTAGTATTCAACACCTGGATAGAGATCACACTCGCAGTTTCAGTCCATCATTGTAACTTCTTTTTGCATACTCTGCAGATTACTCCAAGTCTTCTTATTCCATGAGAGATTTGACACACACCACATTCCAAATAAAAACATTTTTAAAAACTCCAGCCAACCCATTCCTGTATTGCTTAAAAGGAAGAGTTGCCCTTACAGAGATTTCTTATTTTAGAAAGTGCTGTTTTGAAGTAAATCTTCACGTACAGTGTGTGTCCAAATGATACTTGGGGTCTTTGGCCAGTAAGTGTCAAACAAATACTGCTGAAACTGTATCTGCTATACCTACAAATGAAACAAAATATTATTTTTAAATAAATACTGAAAGTGGAGACTTGCCAGAAAGAAGTTACCAGAATTCATATTCATATAATGCCCTCTCTCTGCACCAGGACAGCAGGTGAACTGCTGAGGGGCAAGAGAAGGCAGGAAACCAGCTGCAACCTTTTTATTTCTTCCTTGCCCGACACTGTTTATAGCTGTGGTCTACTTTCCTCCTTCCTCTGCTTTCCCAGTCAAAACTTTAGATCCTTTCTAAGGATTCAGCATTGGTCCAATTTGGGTGCTGATAAGCAACCTAAGCCTTGATATCCTCTTCCCTTTTAATCATATGCATTAGCAATGTATAGACAATATGAAGCTGTGCAGCTTTGAAAGCTCACGAAGAGAATAGAGATCACAAATTCCATTACTAGGCACACTCTTGAATACTCAGACCCATACAAACACAGAACCAGGCTTTTTTTTTTATGCTCAGTTCTTTTCGTATTGCTGTACTCCTTCCAGCACTAAAAGCAAAGTCTGGCTAAAGCCTTGCACCCTCAAAAGCTGTGTCAGAGCACCTCTAAACCAGAAAACATCGTCTGTGGGAGGAAGAAAGCAACTACTGGCTTTTCCTGGATTGTTCTTGTGTGGGAAACTACAGAAAACATGAAAGATCCTGCTTTTTGAGAGAATTTGAAAACAACACATCTGTTCTTCCTGACCAGCTTTACAATTCACTTGCTTTACTTACCACTACTTCTAAGTTTCTCTTTCCAAATAGTTTGTTTATACAAGAACACAAGTTTCAGCAACATAGAAAAGCTCTGATGGGATACATTGTCCTGATCTTTACTGGGTGTAGGCAAACTGAAGATCATCTGTTCTTATTTGCAGATAATTTGCATCCTCTTAACACCTTTTACAATGACTGAGAGCTACTGTTAAACATACATGGAAGTGAAAGCCAACAGAAGACTTCCAGCATTTATCTAACAGAAGGGAAAAAAAAAAATAAAATCAATGGATAGACAACACTCACTAATAGTCCAATCCTAGCAATTTGGCTCAGTAGTCTTTGCTGGTAAACAGGAGCTCCACCTGCCTTACCTCCAGCAGTTACTCAGCAATTCAGAAGAAACTGGATATTTAACATGATAAAACCCCTCTAAAGCACCAGGAAATACCACATGCAAACAGTAAGAGCTAGGAGATGGAAGTAGCACTGAGAGCATGTACCTCTATCTTAACAAGAAAAGCCACAAGCAGGGTACACAACTCCCAGGTACTGGCAGATCCACTTTCCATACTTGTTTGCTAAACTGAGTCTAGAGACAATTCCATCCACCAGACAAGGGCAGCAGCCAATTTATCTACACTGAGTGTAGTGATGGCATTAACCTAGAACAATGACACTTAAGTGTATACTTTGCCTTGTAATGTATACATTATGTAATGTATTCATTGTAATGTATACATTACCTCTACATGGTAAGGTACAGTAGAACTTTAAGCCTTATATAGCATTACCCTTCCATGGTGTTTTTCAATCACTCAGGTAGATGGCTTGGTTGAACTAGCAACTGCTTCATTTATTTTTCCATCTGAATTCATCTAACCTTTTCCAAAATGTAGCAATGACTTGCATTTGCTCTCCATTATATTGCTTTACTTACATGGTAAAAACCGTATCCCAGCAGGTGGCCTTTACCACTAATTATTTTTTGTCAGACTTACCACAGACATTGCTGCCTATCTTAACACGAACATAGCCGTCTATTCCCCATGTGGGCCCCCAAGAGTTCTGTACAATCCAGTAAGGGATACTACCTGGAAGAGACATTTTCATAAACAAGAGATAACATGAGATTTGGGAAGCATAAAAAACTTCTAACATTCTACAGAGTTAATTACCATTTTAATATCTCATAGTTTCTGATGGTTTCATGATACAGTACAGTAAAACCTAATGTAGTTCACATGGAGGACAGAGCTAATATGCCAGTGTTGAACAGACTGGTTATATCCTCTGCTGGCGTAAAGACGCATACAACTGTTTTATTGACTTTACAAGGACATGAAATCCCACAGAACTAATGAAGCACAGACAGGAAGTTTTTCTCCTGGTATCAGGCTGCATTTCCATAACTGGTGTGACACCAAGCCAACAGCTCCCAGCAGAACACCCAGTTCTGGATTTTAATCACATACACTGTAGGAGACAAGTTGCAAATAAGAGAAAAAACACAAAATCTACTTAGCTGAAGTTCAGTTGATGGCAACGCACCTGTTCTGTCAAAACCAGTGATAAGAACAGCATGATTTGCTCTTCCACTGGAGCAGTGATATTGTATGATCCCACCAAGATAATCCTGCCAGCTAACCGCATCTACTGTTACTGCCAAAGGGCCCCAGTTCACAAGCATCCTCATCATTTCTTCTTCTTGATCGCTGTGAAAGAAGCGATAATGCCAAGTTACTGACGTTAGCACACTAAAGCAATCTGAGAGGTGGTAATCTACTTGTTAAGTATGATTTAAAAGTCAAAAAATTAAACTGTTTCCTGTGAGTTCTACACACTGCATAACAAATCAGTAATTATGTATTTCATAGAATACAATAATACGAATATAGGGCACACTGACTATGGGAAAGGTGCAGATCCAAGGACATAATGCTATTAAATAGCAGCAGGTTCCTGGGTCAAGTCGGTGGGCACTATGTAACTTTCAGCTACCACTCTTCTCAATTAAACCCAGCTCTGCACAAAACATTCATCTATATTATTATTTTCCATTAGTTTTTCAAACATACAGAAGCACCTCTTCTATCATACATAATAATAGACTCAAACATGTATCTCAAACACATCAAAACACAGGACTATTATTCTCATACAGCTTTACTTATGTAATGTACTGGAACAAGAAATCTTTATCACTGGGTGATACGTGCAATAACTAAATTTGGCAAATACAGACTGGCAAAGCTATAATAAATTTTACTTACTCATATGTGACAGCAACTCAATTCCTAGTCAAAACTGAATTTCTTGTCTTTAAATTCAATATGCGGCTGTATTGTACTGATAAAGATTAGAAACAAACTTTCTTAATATAGAAACCTAAAAAGCTACCAGTTGTCTTTACAAAATTCAGCTGACAACACAGTTTGTAAAGTCATGGACTGGAGAAGGATGAGGGTGGCTGTGCAAATGGATGAATACTGAAGTAACTGAGTATTTTGTATTTCCTAATTTTTTTTTTTCAACAAATTCCAACTACTATTGGTAGGATTTACTGTTGCTGATACTTAAGCAGTGTAACATTCACTTACCATATATTAAAAATTGAAACTAACTCAATGTTCCAGTTTAAACACAGCCAATTTAGAAGACCTAATTTCAAGACACAGACATATCTTTATAATTTGAGCAGGACTAGTGATGGCAAGGTTGAGTAGGTTCATCGCACAAGCCTTAACTCTCAAAAACGTTATGTATTAATTCTTATCCACTACACAGGTACAGAACTGATGCAATCAACCTCATAACCTTTGGCTGGTCAATGCACTATTGCCTCTCGCTTACTCCACAGTTACTGAACGCAGAAGGGAAAGTACAGCAAATAAGAAGAATCAATAGTAGCTACCTGAAGTCATATGCAGCAAATCCTGCTATTGAAACTCCAAAATCTGAGTGACCAAAATAATGGCACAATCCTGTCTGAGCTTTAAAAGTGTATTCTGAATCTCTCACGAGTTTTACTTTTGTCTGCAATAAGAAAAATGAATATATAGACCATAAAATTCCAATCTAGTTTCCATTCTGCTTGAACAAAGTCTCTTTTGGTTCCAGATTAAAGAAATATGCAAGAATATATACACACATGTATATATTTTTATATATATACGCAAGAATATATACACACACACATTAAAAAAAATCAGTTGAGTTGTATGCTCCACCTTCCCCATCACTTTTTTCCACTAAAAAGAATGTTAATATGGAAGCTAAGGAAAGGTTTGAGATTTATAAGGAGTTTCAAACCTGGTTCAGCCAGTTCAAAGCACTAACAGTGGATCCCCCGCTGCAGCCATAATTATTGTATGAACAGTCAATAACCTGCTGTACGCTGAGTTCTTCCAGGTTATTTCCTTTAATTGCGTAGGCAGACTCTATACCACCCACCACGCTGAAAGCCCAGCAGCCTCCACACTGGTACAAATAGAAGTGAAACAGGAGAGAAAGAAAAGGTTAGTGGTTTTTAAAAGAATGCATTCAAGGAGACAGTCTACAACTTTCTGCAGTCTGAAGAATGTTATAGAAATATATTAGATAATAGTTTAAGAAACAATAAACTGAAATTAAACAGAACAGAAAAATTCCTTAGACAGTAACAGAAACTAAACTACAGTTGTAGGCTCTTTAAACTGTGGCATTAAAAACAGAAAGCAGAATTTATTCTTAGTCAAGGTCAGGTTATACCGTGCAAAGCACAGAAAGAAAAGACACTGGGGTTGTAACAGCTTGTTTGTTTCTTACCAGCGACCATAACCACACTGGGATAAACTGTAATCATGTAGGATATGGTTATTTTCCTATCATCCCCTGAGGTGTTAAATGATAAGGATATGGGTATCAACTAGTTGATGGCATTCATTCATGAGAGAAAAAAACAGCAGAGGATCTATCCCCATATCCAGGTGAAATGGAGGAATGAGGTCAGGTGCTGAACTTACCTCCTCTCTTCAGAAAAATACAAAAAACATGTTGCAAAAGACTTGCAGATTTAATCAAACAGATTTAAAAAATGTTTTACAGTTTGTAATTGCACAATTTAAAAAATGCACAAATTTACACCTCTTTTAAATCTAATCCCACTTTGCATAAAATGCTACATGACTTTGTTCAACCAGCCATACTTGCGCCAGCACTCCAGGGAGTCTTGAGACAGTGCTGGTCCCTTCCAAAGCCTTCACTGTGCTCTGTCACATACCTGCTGGAGCTGTCTCTGAGCAGTGCTTCAGAACCAGGAAAAGAAAACACCAGGACTTACTGTTTGCTGATTTCTCACTTCTGCAATGACTTTCTTGTCCCTCCAGTCAAACTTCTTTGGCAAAGGCTTTTCCTTTCCCTTTGGCACTTTTATGTATCTGGGAAGTTTGTGAGGTATGCTTCTTAAGTAAAGAGCTAAACACAGAATACAAACATCTATAAATTTACTAACTAAAAAAAAATAACCACAAACAATGTTTTGCTACAAGCATAGAAGTAACTTTTGATCCGTAGCTACAATTGCGAGACTACAACTCATTTCAAATCCATAGAAAATTCATGGATTTTAAAATACTCATTTAATTGCAGAATGAATGTGAATAATCCTTTAGTTCTGGAAAGGACAGAAATATTCCATGTAGGTAATGCGGGTAGAATACGTGAAGATTTACTGAAGCTGATCAATAATCATTCCATAAACCAAGTTTTGTTTGAAAATTTTCACAACACTTACTGGGAACATATTACTTTATTTTAGCCAGGTAGAAGGGGAAAAATAAGAGGAAAATAATGTAAAGATTCTGAAACACATGTAGATTGCTGGCTTTTAACTTAAAAAAAATAAAATCCTTAATTATGAAAGATTAAAAAAAGGTGTGAAATCCCCTAATGAATAGAACATATAGCGGCTCACATGAACAGCAAGAAGGAAGATTAGGTTATGTATCAAACAATTTTTCTTAGTAAAAAAACCCCTTAAAAATAATCAATAATCAAATGTGTCATTGCTCCTGAAAGTCACAGATAACATTGTACAGCTGTGGACTTCCAAGCATTGTCTGGATTATAGTCAATGTCATTTCAGGGTAGGAAACAGGAACTTAAGAACCTTGTGTATGCTTCAATTTTAAAACTGCTGCAGTCAAAGAAGGCTTTAAGGCCTAGTGGGAAGAAAGGACAGTCTATAGACTATATCATATTCAGGCTCTGGGCAATTCAACCTTGCAAAACTAGTGAAACATGAAGAGGATCACTGTATCCTTCAGAAGTACTTACAGTTTGGTATCAGACATTGTAAACTAGCTGACTACCAGCACTGGAAGAATCTGTAAATATGAAAGACACAAGGTTCTGGGAAAGAATAAGAAAAATAACAGAAAAGGCATTAGCAGCAATCGGGAAACGTACCTTTGAACTCTTCAGGAAACAGGTGAGAAAACTGGTTTATTCCATAGAAAGCGGTCATATTATCTTTTGATGACGAGTTCAGTAAGCTAATTCTTTTAGTGCTTTCCTGAAGGAAAAAAAAATAAATGTCTTGTGGGCATTATTAAGATAGCAATAGTGATAGAACCATAAGAGCAGGAAAAAAACAGGTTAGCAACAGTAAACATGAACTCAGATAGGAAGGCAGATCTTCGCCTCAGGTTCACCTCAGATTCATTGTGGATTCCCAGCAAACCGACATGAAAGCCATTAGACTAATTTGAACTCCAAGAGAGATAGCAGAAAAGCCTTTTTAAATGCACAGAGGGTAAAAAATTGATACAAGACAGACAAAACAGACGAGTACAAATTTTGTCAAAGCCATCTGATGCCCTTTGACAGAAAAACAAATGTTGTGGTTCAGAGATGCGTAAAAATGGTAAGAGTTAACCCTGTTTTATGTCCTTATGAAAGAAAGGAACAGTATAATGGCCTAAAACCCTAGGCTTTAAATTACCAGGAATCCTACATCTGCGAAAAACACGGTTTTGATGCACGAAAGACAATCGGACAGCCACCTCCTCGGTGCGAGGGTGACACCTGGCGCCAGAACCGGGGAAGGGGAGAAAAGCGGCGGAATCCCAGCGCCTGCAGTTTGGGGGGAAGCCGAGAGAAACGAAACAGCAAACGAATCGGAGCGGGTGTCGGTACCCCGGGCTGAGCGCTCCAGCCGTGCCACCCTCCTCCACGTCCCACTCTCTGGTTAAAGCGGCAGCTCGGCTCCGCTCCCTCTCCGGCGGAGCCCGCAGCCAGCGGGCCCGCCGCGCGGCGCCGATCGCCGGTGTAAGTGCGGACACGGACACCTACCCGCAGGGCCGCCGCCGCCACTTCTTCGTCCCGGCCGTCTCCATCCCAGGGCGGGCGGCCCTGAGCACCGCCGCCCTGTTCCCCCAGCCAGGTGCCCGCAGGCGCCAGGAGAGCGGCGCTGCCCACCCGCAGCAAGCAGCAGAGAATCGCCAACTCTCGCACCCTCACTGACCGGCCGGGCGGAGCGACAGGTCGCGCCATGCTGCGCCGGCCAGCGGGACCAGCTCCCTACCGCGTCCCGGTCTGCGGGCCCTCCCCCGGTCGCCATGTCATGACGGGGTGGGGCTTGGGGGTCCCACCTCCACCCCACAGAGCTTGTGGGCTGGGCTGTTGGGGGGGGGGGGGGGGAAATGAGCTGAAACCTTTCTTTCAGGACGCGGAGGGAGCCCCCACTTTTTCCTACAGCGGGCCTGGGCACAAGCAGCCAGCGGGGCGGACCGGTGCGGGGCCCTCAAGCCCCGTCAATAATCGCCACCCTCAGGCGCGGGGTGCACGGCTCTTGCCGTACCCGGGTATCCTGCTTCTGTCGGCGGTTTTGCTGTGTTTTGGGGTATTGGGCAACATCTGGAAAAAGCCTGAGTTTCAGGCAGTGCTTTACATGTGAGAGACGCGAGTCTCACAGGGCTGCAAAGGAGGGGAGAAGAGGTGCTGACCGTTCAGTTAGCTAAGGGAAAACTTAATGCTAGACCTTTGCTGAAAGGGAGGGTGGGTGGTACCTGCAAAATTGGCTGCCAGTAGGAAGGCGAAGTTGTAGTTGCTCCTTTGGGGCCGTAGAAGTGCAGCTTATAGGCTTTAGCAAGGGAGGGCATTGGCAGGGGGAGATCTACCCTGTTCTGCACTGCCAATGTCTCCAGCCTCTGGTGTCCAGTTAGGTTGTGCCAGGAGAAAATGCTCGAGAGAAACCTCTGTGCATGCTTACGGTGGCTCACAGGTTTCCTTAGAAACTAGTCAAGTACTGGTACTCCATCAAGCAGGTTAGTGTTTGATGTTTAAAACTTTGTTAAGCTGGTATAAGTTAACACAGTTCCTCTTGTAAATTTCCATCAATAGATACAGAATCATAGAATGGTTTGGGCTGGAATGAACCTTAAAGATTGTCTAGTTCCAACCCCCCTGTCATGGACAGGGACACTTTTCACTAGACCAGGTTGCTCAAAGCCCCATCCAAAGTGGCCTTGAACACTTCCAGGTATGGGGCATCCAATGTTATGCAGTATTTTTATGTAGAATATTTGTATGTTTAAAGCTAGTCTATGTTTTAGTTGTCCCTATTGCTTTTCTCCCCACCATTTTGCTATCACTGTGCAGTGGTACCAGTCGCAAACCTTGCTGCAAACCTTGCAGTGTGATGCAGGCTTTCCTTGCACTGAAATTTTACAGGGTGTGAAGTTTTTCTACAATTGCTGTGCTGTGTAATAGCAAAGACATATAGGGGGGTGTTTTGTGTAAAGTGTGAGGTGCAGAATTGTACCAATGCATGTTTTGGTTTTTGTTTTGTTTTTTTTTTTTTGTGTCATGCAGCATTTTATCCAACAATACAAGTTTGAAAGTGAAATTGTATTGTATGAAATGTACCTATATGAGGTATAATGAGATCTATATATTTCTAATTTCTAGATCCGTAGATATAGGCAGACCTGGCAAGTAGAAGACAAAGGATTAAGCCTACGCCTGGTGGAGGGTCTGTCGGGGCAGTGCCACTGTCAGCTGCACCTCTCTACATCATCATCTCAGTTCAAATGCCTACACTTGCTGGCTTCAGCAAGCTGGCTTTGTTGTAGCATCCCTCTCTGGGAATAGTAACTACTGTTTGAGGGGGGGTCCAGGTAGCTTCAGTCATGAGTGCTGATTGATGTCTGTCATCTCCCCACTAGTGACTGAAAAAGGATTTAGATAACTTTAATCAGCAGCACTACAGAGTCCTCTGTGCTATGTAGGCCTTTAGCCCCCTTTCCCCCCAAAAAACTGGCCTTTTGCTCTTTTCTATAGCAAAAGTATTTTGATACTGGCTGGCCTTATGCTGCATTTGCTTGGTAGATTGTTTTTTTGGTTTTGTTAGTTTGTTTGGTTTTTAATGAGGAACCGACCATCAATTTTACAAAAAAAAACAACCCAAACCACTCACTTTTCTGAAGTGAGACTACAGTACCAGAGTTGTTATCTGTCAGGGAAAGGGAGAACAAACCCCAGTACTTCAGTCATGAGAGGACAACAATTCTCTCCAGTCCACCCCACTGGCAAAGGAGCGCTTGTGTTTATTTGCAGAACACTTACCATGCAGGTACCTTTTCTTAATGATGGAAAGAAAAATTCATTATTCTGCTTTATAGCCTGCAGTTACACATATTTCTGTAGTGAAGAGAGAATTTAACACACTGTAATTTCTGAGAAGTTGAGGCCTTTTAAAGGCACTTAAACGGTGGCAGGTAGATTAATGATAAAACAATCATGGCAGTTCAGGAACCTCCTGACAGTATAAATAAAAGTTTATGATCTGTGCCTACGAAATAGGTTATGTCCAGGATTGAACAAACCTGTGGGGATCATAATCCAGCTCTGCCTTTGCTTTCCTCTTCCTGTGGACAGGCTGTCAGGGGCATCAGCTAAACTGTCAGCAGTTTTAGTACAGGAGGGCTATTTATGGCTTATAGTCAGAGTATGAAACCTTAAAAGGGCAGCTTTTATTGCTTATTCTGATTAGTTTTATTCTTGTAACCCCAGGATTGGCAAAAGAAGTGTTATTAAAATAAATTAAAAACTTCTATTGATGTAATGAGGTCTGAGATCAGCATAGGGACTGGATAGGGTGAAGACTGTAGCATAAGTGAACAGTGAAACCTTTTTAAGGATGGTCTGAGCCTCAGCAGACAAATTTTGAGGCAAAAATCCATCAAACTGACTTTGCGCACTGTGACCCTTGGGGGAAGTGCAGGGCAGTGGTTGGCAGGAGCATCAAAGGAAAGCTTGGTATGGGAACCATAGTTTTGGATGTACTGATACCAAGAGAAACATAGCCACATGATTTTGTTCTGTATAGTGTCACTTTGCCAGTCAGTTTAATCAGTGGAAAGATGCTGAAATTAGCTTTAATGAAAAGTAAGTTTTGAAATAAAGCATGTCAGATTTTCCATCAGGGTGACATCATCCACTTGGACTTAATTGGCCTGCTAGCATTGAAATCTGTTCATTGGGAATTATAATTATCTCAAACTGAATAATTTTTCTTATTTTTAGTATATAATCATTAAATTATAAACTGGTCAGCTTTACTAGAAGAGAGAAATAAACTTTAAGGTTTTTTTTATGTTGCCATTTCCATGGACTGTCTGTTCGTAGCAGAAGCTGTTGTCTTGGTTGGAGAGAGAGCTGTTTTATTTTTTATGTAGACTTCAAGAGTTACTTTTCCTGTGAAACACATGGGGGCAGCAAAGGACTTTTGAAACGTTAGTTGCAAGCCATGCAATTTTAATTTTAATTAAAATAAATAAACATACCACAAACAAACAAAAATCGCCTCCTATTTTGGGAAAACAGATATGTTCCAGATTGATTTGCATTAAAAATTCTGTACAGCATAGCAGGAGGAAAAAGTGTATTTCTAAGGGACTTGCCCTCTCTGTGTACTAAGTAGATTATGTCAATTTATCTTGTTCAAGAGGAGACAATGATAGAAAAGTCAGTGTCTCCTCTGATGATTGGCTTAGGGAGAACAGAAGAGTAGCAAACAGCACAAGGTAGGTGACTGACAGCCAAAGTGTTTCAAAATGCTTTATTTTCCACTAAACTACCATGCTATTAAAACATTTTTTACTTGTACTTAGATGAACAAAGCCCCACTGAAGTACCTGGAGAGTTCTGTCTATAGTTACTCAGACCCTGCTCTGTTTTCAATTACTCCAGTGTGAATCTAGCTCTGCTTCATTAGGATAAAAGAAAATACACTTGTAAAAATAATATCAGATGTGGGCCTATAAAAAGGAATAAGGTATAAAATTTGTGGTTTGTTTTTTGTTTGTTTTTTGTTTGTTTGTTTTTAAATTATTCTCAAGGTTTTATTGCTACCAGTTCTTACTGCTTCATTGACACAGGTGAGCCATATGTTAGTTACCCGTTATTCTAGACAGATTATTAAAATATTTTTATGCAAGCATATGCTTTGTTTATGTTTCAAGATTTTTTCAGAAATTCTGATTTAGAATTTTATAATTGTAAATGCTTATTTTTAAATGTATTTTGATGGCATTTTACATATTTCTTTCCTGTTCTGGCTATTAATTATTGGTATTTCATGAGCACAAGCAGTGCATGCTTAAGGAAGAAGCAGTAATGAATATATATTTGGGAACCTCTAAACTCCTTGTAAGATGTTTTCTTTAACTGAAGATACTCTTTTATGAAGGGAATTTGGTTTCTCATCAGGTGCAAAACACCCATTTCTAAAATTATTTGTCACTTCTAGCAGTGTAATTAGTGGGTGGATTTTCATAGTTGTTACAGGGTCAGAGTGAGAGAGCATGTTAATATTCTGTAAATTGACTCTTGTTAGACAACCCAGCTTCAGAGCCCCTTGGCCTGTGTGTTTATAATTGTCATAGCAAACAAGGGGAAAATATGATAAACTACTTTCAAGTTGAAGACAGTTCTTCCAAGGATTGGTACTGCAGCTAAGGGCAGTAACGAGCTATGTTAATGGATCTTTGGGGAGGGGGGATGCTTTTCATTGTGATAGGTACCTTCATAGTAGCACTTTGTAATTCTGCATCTTGCATGGATAGAAGATGTTGAACAAATGGAAAATAAATCCCTTTGTGCAGTTCTGAGCCTCAGAGAGAAATAATCTAAATTTGACAGCAGATGGAGCTGAGCACCTTTTCTTAAAAAGATTTGTTGGGAATAATTATTTCAGGATAAACCTAAAGATTTGTTTATTTTAAGACCTTGCAGAGGTGTTGTTTGCTAATATAGTTGCACTGGTAACAATTATTAAATATAAGCAAAGCAAGTGTGAATTGAAATCTTGCGATGAAATCTGGTCTTGTTTAAGGCAGCATAAGGGTAAATAAGCAGTGTTGCTGTAGCTTATGTTCAGAAGTCATCTTCTCTGAGCCCCAAGGTAGGCTTTGAAGTTTGTGAGAAGCAGGGAAAATTGCACATGGTAATATTTGGGTTTGCAGGAATAACCAGGCTGTGCAGGGAGTTGCCTTAGCTAGGTCATGATAAATATCTGTGTTCACCATGAAGTCTCTCTGGTAGTGCTATACTCCTTTGCAAATAATGTAACTGTCGGACCTGCTTTTCAATCCTGACTCTTCTGAATCTCAGCTGAATATCCTGAACACCAGTAAGT